GTTGGTTATTATTGGTAATAAAAACTGTTGATAACTTCAGGATGACATTTTTTATAGAGGGGCCACAGATATACAACACTTTCTAAGTTGACTATACTGAAGTGAAAGGTAGATGGGATAAAAGGAAAAATAGAACTCGGGAAGAGAAGGGAAGGTTTAAAAACAAAAAGGGGAGGCATTAGGTAATAAAACAGCTATTGGAGGATAGAGGGGGCTAAGAAGCATAGGCAATGGGTCGAAAGGTATGGGGAAATTTAAAAATGTATGGTTTTTGAGTGTTCAGCAGAAATTTTTTGGGTTTCAGGAAAGTGGGTGCGGGGGGGAAAGGGAGCGATTGGTGGAATGATATGTAAAAAGGGGTAGTAAGGGAGAAAAAGTTAGCATAGAAACTTTTTTTCAAAGTGGGAAATGTGCAAGGAGGGAAGAGTATTGGGGAAAAAGAATTTAAAAGAGTGGGGGAAGCAAAATAAAAAGAGAGCAAATGAAGAGGGGTGAGATGTTATCAAAAAATTTTGTTTAAAATAAGAAAATTTTGGAGTGAGATTAACAAGTTTAAAAAAGCCAAAAACAAATGGATTTGTCTTAAAAAAAGAGAGGAATTATTAAATGGAGGTTAAGGATTGGGAAGATGGAGGGAATATTTTGAGGAATTGTTTAAAAGTTGATGAAGATAGGGAAGCTGTGATTTCGTGCATAGGGCAAGGAGGGAAAAACATCTTGTAGGATGAGGAAACCAGTTGTGGTTGGGGGAAGTTCGTGAGACAGTAGGTAAAATGAAAGGGGGGAAGGCAGCCGGGTTTTATGGGATAAAGATAGAAAATGTTTTAAAAACAGTGGGGAATAGTTTTTGGGGTGGTTGGTGCAATTAATTTTTTAAAAAATTATGGAAGAGGGTAAAGGTTTCCTAGGACTGCAGAGAGCACATAGTTCCTTTGTATAAAGGCAAAGGGGATAAAAAGAGTGCAAAAATTATAGGGGGGTAAGTCCCGTTTATATACCTTAAAGTGATGGAGAGTTGTTTTGAAAGAATTTAAAAGTAAGAGGAGAAAAGGGTAGCAGATGAAAAGGGAGGTTTAGGAAAGATAGCGGGTGTGTGGACCAGTTTTTTACATGAAACATTAAGTGAACAGTATTTTGATAAGGCTAAAGAGGTCTTTGTGGCCATTTATGGAATTTTTGGGAAAAGGCGTATAAGGGGGGATAGGGGGGCAATGTGGCAGATGTTGCAGGTGTATGGTGTAGGAGGTAGGTTTCTGAAAAGCAGTAAAGTTTTTACGAGGAAGTTTAGGGCCCAAATTTAGGTATGTAGGAAAAGGGAAATTATTTCGCATAAAAGTAGGGCCCTTTGACAAGGATTGTGATGTCACCGTGGTTTTGTTTTTTAAAAATTTATGATGGGGGTTTTAGAGAAGTAAATGCAGGGTCTTTGGGAAGAGCGTGGAGTTAAAAGAAAAAAACACACACAAAATGTAGTCACAGCTGCTCTTTGCTGATACACTGTGCTTGGGGGATTCTGAAGAGAATTGCAGAGTTGGTGGATGAATTTGGTAGGGTTGCAAAAGAAGAAAATTTTAAAAGGGGAATACAGGAAAGAGTAAAGGTTATGAAGATATCAAAAGATTAGGTGATGAAAGATTGGATATCAGATTGGGGGAGAGAGTATGTAGGAGGTGAATGTATTCATATAATTTGGGAGTGGAACGTGTCCAGTGATGGGTCAATGTAAAGATGAGTGAATTCATAGAATTGATGAGGTAAAAGGTGCGTGGTGCACTTAGGAGTCTGTGGAGACAAAGAACTTTGTCCTAGGAGGGCAAAGAGGGGAAATGTATGAGAGTATCTAGTTTTACCAATGCTCTTATAGGGTGTGAAGGCCCATGGGTATGAATGTTGCAGCGAGGAGAAGGCAGTGGAGATGTCATGTCAGAGGGCAATGTGTGGTGTGAATATAATGCAGTGAATTCGTATTTTTGGAAGTTCGGAGGAGTGTGCGGGATTACCATACTGTTGGCCAGAGGGCTGAGGAAGGGTGTTTGAGGTGGTGGATCGGACATGTAGAGAGAAGGAGCAAAACAGAAAATGACTTCAAGAGTGTATCAGTTCTGTAGTGGAAGGAAGGCGGGTAGGGTCGGCCTAGGAAAGGTTGGAGGGAGGGGGTAAAGAGGTTTTTGGTGTGCGAGGGGCTTGGACTTCCAGCAGCAATGCGTGAGCGTTGGTTGATAGGATAATGGAGACAAATGGTTTTTAATACTTGACGTGCTGTTGGAGTGGAGCAAAGTAACATTATGAAGGGGTTCAGGGAAAACCCGGCAGGCCGACTTGAGTCCTGGAGCTGGGAAGTACAGGGCCTGCACTCTGAAGGAGGGTGTTATGTGTGCATTTAAAATTTTCTGTAGTGTAAAGCACCCTTCTGCAAGACAGTGATGGAGTGAATGATGGTGAAAGTTTTTCTTATTCGGGCCCCCTGCCTTGGTGTGAATCGGCCAAGCGTGATAATAAATAAATAAATAAATAAATAAATAAATAAATATAATATATATATATATATATAATATATATATATATATATACATATAATATATATATGTAATATATATATATAAAATATATATATAATATATATAATATATATATATATATATATATATATACATATATATATATATATAATATATATATATATATATAAATATAATATATATATATATATATATATATATTATATATATATATATATATATATATATAAAAATATAGGGAGGTACCACCTCTTGAACTGTCATGGGGACCCTCCATCCTCAGAGAAAAGAATAAACATCTTCAGTCAGGGAAAACTCAAGGTTTTCCCTGAGCTGTTTTGAGAATTTTTCTCCTACCACCCCTATATTTCAAGTTATGTTTTATTTAAAGACAAAATACATTGGCCCAACATTCACAAAAATACAACAGAAAGTAAAACAACATAGGTAACTCAGAGCTACATCTCGAATACTTCGTCCAGCTTCCCTGCGGTGGGCCGCGTGCCCAGAATGCTGCAGGCATTTCCTCTCTGGATCGCAACACTGAGTCTCTGAAAAGAGGAAGCGGTTCGCCCTGTGGGTCCTTGGTTTCTATGATAGCTTTTTTCACCCAGCTCTTGAGGAACATTTAGAGCACACTTGCCCCATGCTCCAAGGGTCTCCAACCCTATTGGAATGAAGTTATAACAAGAGTATGGCAAGTAGGTGTCTGCCAATGTGGCAGCACAGGTGTAGTCCCAGGCAATCTGCTTTCCATCCTTCCAGGGTAAGCATAGTGGCTCCATCAGGATGCTTTTGACTTCCATCAGACCTCTGTACTTGGGGTTCCCGTTGAGCGGGGCAAGGGGCTGTGGCGAGGCTTCTCTTTATTATGTCATTGATCTCCTCATGTCTGGCATACTTCCCTTCTGCTGTGTGGCACACGAGACCATGAAGTCCGAATTGATCAGCTGTCGCCCTGCCGCAAATACACCTATGTTCGGTGAGGAGGGGGGCGGCTAGGCGAAGAGCAACACCAATCCGAAGGGCCCCTGTGGGTCGAGACGGGTGCCCAGGGAGGAATTGGGACAGTTAACAGGAAATCTCCTGAGTGTGGTGCCTTCACTGCCAGAGACGAGCTTTGTTCTTTCCTGAAGCATTGGAGAGAAATTGTGTTGGCGATTTTTTCCATGTTCGGTTTGTCCCAGTGGGACTGTTTGTGCTGTTTGGGAGGAGCTGGTCTACTGGAGGAGTCGAAAGGGGTGCCCCCACCGAATCGCTGCTTCAGTAACCTGGGTCTTGAGCTCCTACCAAGTCTTTCAAGCGTTCGGGGCACTATCTTCTTGACTAATGCACGGGAAAAGCCAAACACGAAGACAGAAAAGCAGGTAAAGCAACATGCGTTGCTTTTCGCACCCCTATACCTCCCAGTCGCACTGGGAGGGTTCCTGATCCCATTGCCATCCTCTAGTGACAGGTTCAGTGCCTTCTTAAAAGTTGATCTCAGGTGTGCGTCATATTCATCGAGTGTTGGGTTGTCAAAAGAGGGTGCACACCTCAAGAAGTAAGTGAGTCTTGGCATAGTAAGACACCTTGTGAGGAGATACAGAGCATCATGGGCATCAAGAATTGCTTATTCTCTCCTTCATTCTCATCAGGCCATTCAGTTTGTCCCTGAGGACAGTATCGATGGCCTGGTGACCCAGCGGTGCCCCCTAGAGGGTACTGTTGGACGGAGTTGTACTTGAGACTTTTGGGGATCTTCGCACAGCATTGATTATTTCCTGGTTCGCTGTGATGATTTCAACTTGGAGGGATGAGATGAGTCCATGTCTTTTTCCCTGTGTTTCACCAATTGTGTATATATTAATATAATAATATATATATAATATATATATATATATATATATATAAATATATATATTTATTATTTATTATTTATTTATTTATTTTTTCATTAATTATTTATTCAGCCACTTTTATAAATATACTCTTGAGGTTTCTAAACCTGTATTCCCTGGAACGCAGGAGGGAGAGATACATGATTATATACACCTGGAAAATCCTAGAGGGACTAGTACCGAACTTGCACACGAAAATCACTCACTACGAAAGCAAAAGACTTGGCAGACTATGCACCATCCCCCCAATGAAAAGCAGGGGTGTCACTATCACGTTAAGAGACCATACAATAAGTGTCAGGGGCCCGAGACTGTTCAACTGCCTCCCAGCACACATAAGGGGGATTACCAACAGACCCATGGCAGTCTTCAAGCTGGCACTGGACAAGCACCTAAAGTCAGTTCCTGATCAGCCGGGCTGTGGCTCGTACGTTGGTTTGCGTGCAGCCAGCAGCAACAGCCTGGTTGATCAGGCGCTGATCCACCAGGAGGCCTGGTCACAGACCGGGCCGCGGGGGCGTTGACCCCCGAAACTCTCTCCAGGTAAACTCCAGGTAAGTTTCTAGGGATGAGATATAAGGAATATTTGAAACTATTATAT